GCAATCCGTCAGCAGCGCATGTGTAGCGCGTATCCGTGTCGCTGCTGCTGGGGCCGCCTTGCGACGTTACGCCCCGACCAGCAAGGGGCTGAACAGGCGAAAGTGCAATCAATCATCGTCCGAACGCTTTGCTTGCTTGTTTGCCTTGCTACCCGATCAGTTTCCCCTTCAAATCAGACCAAAAGACGATGTTGATGATCTGCTTACTCCTGGCATAAGAGACAAAGCTCTCATCTCACGGCTTTGCGCCACGGCTCTCTTGGCTCCGATCATTTTAAGCTTTTTGCCAAGTTGTCTTCTATCGCTTCGCCTTGCAGCCCCTTGCTATCCTTACCCCTGGGTAGCGCAGCGGTGAGAGTCGACAGCGATCATCTTTCATCCTATCCTTCACCCACTCAACCCACTTTCGGTCTTGTCCAAACCACTGCAACTTCCAACTTGCTTGCTTCATAAGCACTTCATTGGCATTCGACTTCATCTTCACTGCAGTCAAAACATCTCATGAGATCTCAACACGCAATAGTGTACCACCTTGCTACTCGAGCCCGTCCAACAATTCAGGTCACCAATCCTTGTAGCACGCAGTGAGTCGCTGAAAGATGCAGTAGTGAGCGCCAGCAATAGCGTCTGTGCTCACGCGTCGCTCTTCTTGCAAACCTTTCCAGCTTTGCAGCCTCCCAAAAGCACTTTTCGAGCTCTGCCACAAAGCGCCGGTGACGCTTGGCTGCGGGTTCTAGTCACCTCCTCAGGCGCTATCCTCACACCACTGGAGGCTCTCATTTGCTGTCAGGCTCCATTTGCGGGACAGGTATCTCGAACAGGCTGTCAGGAAGGGCAGGCTGTCCAGCGCGCTGGCCGCTCCTTCACCGCCGCGACGTGGACTTGCTGATCATCGTTTAGCTGCGGCGAGCTGTGATGGCAACTTCCCCCCGTTCCGCGTCTTTCGAGATGCAGGCGAGGCAGCGGACCCCCGATCCAGCTGGCGCCTCGCAATTCTCCACCCGTCCTCCACGAGAGCATCTCAGTCGCGCTGAGGCGCCCTCGAACCTCAGTCTGGTTCGGACCCCTTTGGGCTCTGGCGCAAATGGGACGTCGCCTGCCAGCGCTCCTCCGAGCGCTCGAAGCATCTCTAGTCGCACGGGTTATAGCCGGACGCCTGGTTTCAGCACTCGCAGGCTGCCTTCCAGACTCGCAGGTACTTTGCAGGCGGAAAGAGGAGTCAGCTCGGCTGTCAGTGCGCACCGCTCACCGGAACCTCACTCGCCCACCTACTTCATCACTGCTGTCCCGCCGCTCGAGTAAGTCATCCTTGCGGTGCTCCAACTCGCGATCAGCGCGATCAGTGGGTCTTGACTGACCATGCCCTCTTGCTTTGATGGCCTCTCAGGCTTCCCACCGATTCTCCTCACTCGCGCAACCTTTCCATTGCAGGTAGCGCTAGCCACCGACGGCGAGGCGTTCTCTTGCCCCTGTACCCAACGCTCGGTGGTCAGCTATATGCCATCGCGCGTGAATGTGGACTACCTTCTATCGGCGGTTTGGCGGTCTTTCTCTGCGACGACGGAGAGGGCAACCTGGGTCCCCGAATTGGCGAGGCGGCGTGGGCATCGTTGTGGTCCCGCTATTTCGAGGAGGAAAGCTCGCCGGACGAGGCATTTGGGCGCCATCGTGCCGCTCGGGGTCACGATCGCATACCGAGCGAGCTCTCCGGACAGTCACACAGCGCCAGCTCTCGATCTAGGGAAGAGTACGGGTCGAACGTTGAGTCTGACGAATTCGATCGGTCCGTGTCGAAGCGCGCGTCCCCAGCGCAGCCCCGGCATGTCAGTTCCGAATACCCACTTGCAGCACACGACCATGGCTATGGTCTCACGCACGCACGAAGAGAGGCACGGAACTCGAGTCGCAGGAGCGTTTCCCGCACATCGCAAGCGAGTCGCAATCGTAGTGAAGTCCAATCGGGTCGCTTGCCCATCGTGGGTCGCATAGAATGGATGGTGGAGGAGCACAAAGCACCATGGTGGCCGCAGTATCTAGACGGAGCCGAAAGGCGGCCTTTGGCAAGCGCGAAATCCTCCATCTCTGCTGCAGGCGGCAGGAGGAGCCTACACCTGGGCGTACCTGAGCGCAAGGGACGGGACGCCTACCAGGTACCGACAACAGTGCCGAGTCAGACAGTAGCGACATTACGCTCGACTGGCTCTAGTGATGCGCTGCGCTCGATTGTGTCGGACGTGGCGACGCCTCTCAATGAAGCCTCGATGAGCGAGCGAAGTTCGCCGCTGCATCAGCCATCACTAGGTCCGCTTGACGCAGATGAACGGCTCAGCTCCGTATCATCTTCAGACGAGCAACTTGGACGTCGAACCAGCTTCGCCACGTCCAGGGACAGAATTGACTCTTTCTCGCCTCGCACGCAACCGCCGGACGCGCCAACCATGCTCGGCTTCACGCAGCTAGAGGATGAAGGTGAAACCCCGTCAACTGAGCGAGCCACCTGGCAGCACATGACTCAGGAGTCTGAAGCAGGCAACAGCACCCCTGTCGGAGAGGTCATCCCTGGAACACAACATATGCATGCATCGCCAGCGCCAGCACCCAGTCCAGATGCCATGGGCGTGCAGCAATCTGAAATACACACTCAGGGCTTGGACGATCCCGCTGACTCGCCTCTCACACGATCCGGTAACACGAGAGCTCCTAGCCATCGGTTCGATCTGTTCGCCAACACTGATGAGGAGGTACTCGCGGAGCTGCATGATGTGCGCTCCTTGCCCGGGCCAGAATTGGCCAGGCAAGCACGGCGGACAGGCGGCAATTTGACTTTGACGGATCAAAGTGCTATCACTCCGGCTCAAGAGCAGCGCAATCGTCTCTCTGCTGACGCGACCTCAGCGCTCAGTCTCAGCAAAACAGTGTCCGCTCGTGCCGTGACTCCCAATCACGCGCAGGCTTCATCAACAGAGCTGTATGCGAGCCCATCGCGAGGTGGGAACGCCGCAGTGCAAGACTGGATCACGAGCACCGCGCGCTCACCTCAGCTCAGAAGGCGGTCGGCCCTCGCAGGCGAGCTGAGTTTGGATGCCAGAGAGGATGACCATGACGAGGATGCATACGAGGGCGAGCTCGACCCTCAAGACGACGTCCTGGATGTAGTCTCGCTTTGGGCTCGAAGTGTTACCACTGGTGGAGCAACTTCGGCCGAGCTCCCACCGCCACCCGTGGTGTTGCACGAAGGACCCACGGAAGACAGCGCGCCAGCTGCTCCTAACGAAGCTGCAAAGACTGCAGAGACCGGCCAGCTATCTCTACTCAGTCCCATCGCTCTTGATGCGAGTGGGACATTCGAAGGCCCACGACCTTCGCTCGGAGACCTTGCGAGCGGTCAATCGCCATCTGAGCCAGTCGACGC